AACCCTACAAGCAAAATTCAAAAGACTTGTAAGTGATTGGAATTCATGAAGGGTAGCTTTTTGTTTCCCTAACATGGTCCCAACTTTCTGCTTCATAGCCACTAGTTTTTCATTAGGCAAACAAAAAATTCCAGCTATGGTGTCAATCTCAATACCCAAAAAGGTAAGTCGAGTATGTGGCCCCTCTGTCTTTCCCTCCACTAAGGGCACACCTAGCTCATGCATTAATTCCTGAAATTGAACTAAGGAATCCTTACACTGTGAAAAATTGGGATTCCCAGCAATTAAAAAAATCATCTAAATAATGAGCTATGGCTCTATTACCAGTCCGCTTAACTGCACACCAATGGAGAAAAGTACTGAATGTCTTGAAAGCTGAACAAGTAATTGAGCATCCCATTGGCATAGCTTTGTCAAAGAAATATTTTCCTTCAAACTGAAAACCCAGTAAGTAAAAATCATCAGGGTGTACAGGAAGGAGTCTAAATGCAGACTTAATATCACACTTAGCTAAAAGGGCTCCCATGCCCAAATTCCTAATCATCTTGACTGCTGAGTCAAACGATGTATACCTAACAGAGATAAGCCCAGGATCAATAGCATCATTCACTGAATCACCCTTTGGGTATGATAAGTTATGAATCAGCCTAAATTCCCCAGGAGCTTTTTTAGGAACTACACCCAAAGGAGATAAGTGAAGTGTGGGGATAGGCAGCTGATCATGGGGTCCTGAAATCCTTCCTGCAGCTATTTCCTTAACTAATTTCTCCCTCACCATGCTCGGCAAGTCCCTCACAGAGGGAGCATTGGGTGCATAACGATGAATCCTAGGGCCTGTATAGGGAATATGAAAGCCTACAGAAAAACCTTGAAATTAATAGAGAGCTTCCCTATTAGGGTAAACCTTTAGCCATGACACCATAGTGTCTAATTTAATTGGTGAGGGGAACTTTCCCCCCAGGCGAAGCTGGCTGGGCGGCAGTACCCACTCCTGTTCTTTTGCCTCTACCACAGGAAGTTCCAGGGTGGCCATCCCCACAGGTGTTATATTTGTACTCAATCCTGCAGGGTTGTCTTTTACACTTACCAGCACTGAAGTCCCAACATAAGCCAAATTGCCTTCTCTCTCTGGTGGCAGCCTCACATTCGTCCCTCTCGGCATGATAACCATCGGGACAAACCTGTTGTCACACCTGCACAAGGGGGAGGCCCCCACCATAACATCAGCCCAAAGCTCAGACTGAACGTGCCTCCAAGACAAGGAGCGATCCTTTGCAGCTCTCATCCTAAACTGCTCATCATATTGGAGCCAAGCTGCACCCCTTGAATTGTGATAGCAGTTAGTGTATGGTTTTATCATAATCTCCTGATATTTAGAGAAGTCAGGGGATCTGAGTGGTTCTTTTTCCTCTATGACACCTCTATAAATAGTGAAGCTCATAATCCAATTAACAAAATTGCGCTCAAGTTTAGGGCATTTGAGTGCCTGAAACTCTTGGCAAACTAAAAACAATTCCATCTTTTACCATGATCCTCGGCTCAGGATCCCTAAAAGTCAAAGTAAATAAATCAATATATTTGCCCTTCCAAATCCTTTCTTTAGTGGAAATAGGAAGGTGTGAACCAAGGGGTGTAGACATTCCAGTGTAAGGAGTAGATTCCATGTTCCCCACCACTCCAGATAAGAAAGGAGCACTTGAAAGAGACACCACAGAGGTGTTGTTAGCAACAGCTGCAGGCTGACCACCCTGCGCCCGAGTATCAGGGACCTGTGAGATTGCAGATGCCTGCACGGGTTCATCCAAAACCACAGGGTTGGGCCATTCCAAAGCCACACCCTGACCCACCTGGTCACCTGGAGCCCATACCAAGGTAGGCCAGTTAGCAGGTGCAATATTAGGAGACAAACCTGATACTGAAGCTTGCTGGAAAGCTTTGCCAACTGACAGCAGTGGTCCCCTGAAGTGTGGCCCCGCAACAGCTCGGGTGTCAAACACAGTAGAGGCAGCAGCAGCTTGATCACCTCTCTGTTCACCACTGGTCTGCTCCATTGCACCACCTGGAAGAACCACCCCTTGTAAGAGGTTATATAAATCAGCCAAAGTAGGCTGCCCAGACACAGGGGCAGCCGCGCCATGTGTCCATCTGGGACTCTTTTCAGGATATCCCACACATAGGCAATAGTGGGGTGCCCAGCCTCCACTGCCGAAACCACCGATGGGCCTGGTGTAGCATCTGCCACCTGAGACTCAGATGCCACTAAAGGAAATGACACTTTGGTGTTACTAGCACCCGAAGGGTTGGCAATTGAGCTGGTGGCTGCATCCTGTAGTTCCTTCTGTGTGAGTTGATTGCAAAGCGCCACATAAGCCTGCACAGTTTTGCCCAGTTGTGCCACCTGGGCAGAGATCTCATCTTCTCTGCTACTAGACTGGAAAGGTCTTTTTGAAGCAGAGCGACCCAAGTTAGGCATGGCTGAAGCCATGCGCCTCTTGGATTGGGCCTTACTACATTGCATTTTAACCTCAGTGAATAGAACACAGGCCCGAACCTCAGTGAATAGAACACGGGCCTGCTCAGGGAGGGACTAACTGAACACTCCCACTTGCAGAAAAAGAGCAAAATCAGCAAAAGCCAAATGCAGCAAAAGCCGAGAATAAACGCTAGGCCAAAGCCAAGCAATTAGCCAGAGCACAGAGCAGAGTAATGTGACTCACTCAGTTCAAGTTCTAAAATGGCTGCTGCCACGTGGCAGTGCAGAGCTATAAAGCACAAACTCTCATCCCAAGTCTCTGGAGATTACAGGCACCACGAGACTTTGGGATATGAACAAAGCAACTTGATTGGGCCAAGCACACAGGTGCTCAATACCCCTGCGTGCTTAACCAATTAGGCCTCTCATGTCCTTATATGGCCAGCGTAACAAGAAACCCCTCCCAATTCATCAGGGGGTGTCTTTGTGTTCAGTTGCAATAACAGAGTGGTCAGACTAGACATTAGTGACAGAATAATTTATGAATTTACTACAGTAAAAGCTTAAAACCAATCACTGCCAACATCAGTCAATTTGCAGTCTTGGAAAGAAGACAGTTGCAGCATGGGACAGTGATGGGAAGAATAAGGTAGCAAAGTAGGAGATGGGAGGGAAGAGATACTTTTGATGTTCTACGCTCTCCAACGTTTTATAGATGAAAATGTGGACATGTACGCCCAGGTAACATCAGAGTGTGGTCAAAATGGCAAACATTATTAATGAAGATAACACACAATCTAAAAGATGCTGCACAAGTTTACTTTTGCTTTTGCCAGCTAGTAATGCAAGATTCCATTCCTCCTCTCCACTTTCCCTGCTGAGTTAATTCAATGCAAGGTATTTTTGCACTTTGTACTCAGTTTACAGAAACTGAAGCAAGCTGAGGACAAAGGAGGAAAGTGTGAGGAGGACAAAAAAAATGGGGGCATTTCAAAAGCAGCTGAAGAAGTGGGACAACAGAGGATTAATCTTGACTGCCTGTGCCAAGTCAGGACAGTTGGAGGATATGGGATTGCATTTTTATGAAGAATTTTCATCCCCATTACCCCGTACTACATTTTCTAGAATTCTTGGGAAAACAATGCTTAAACTAATATTTTTTTAAAAATGTAAGCATATCATGACGCTACAATGCCCAAATGCTAAAATCTTCTTCTCTGAACCCTGATTTAGAATCATAGAATCATAGAGTTGGAAGATACCACAAGGGCCATCCAGTCCAACCCCCTGCCATGCAGGAACTCCCAATCAAACCATCCCTGACAGATGGCCATCCAGCCTCTGCTTAAAGACCTCCAAGGAAGGAGACTCCACTACTCTCCGAGGGAGTGTGTTCCACTGTCGAACCGCCCTTACTGTCAAGAAGTTCCTCCTAATGTTGAGGTGGAATCTCTTTTCTTGCAGCTTGCATCCATTGTTTCGGGTCCTAGTCTCTGGAGCAGCAGAAAACAAGCTTGTTCCCTCCTCAATATGACATCCCTTCAAATATTTAAACACGGCTATCATATCACTTCTCTACCTTCTCTTCTCGAGGCTAAACATCCCCAGCTCCCTAAGTCATTCCTCACAGGGCTTGGTT